AACATTATTCGAATGTTACCTTTTATCCTGGCTTTCTGAATAACCTAGAATGATACCCGTAGGATAGTACTGGGCCGTCGTGCATGTATCTAACAACTGCAAATTTCTAAAACTTTTATTAGTCCTAGATGCGTGTGGTTGAGCCAGTAATTCTTTTTGGAAGCAAAGAGCTTGCCTTCAAAAGTCATTGCCGTTAAAAGCGCCACGAAAATACTTAAATGCAGGAACAACTGAGATTAATCTGATGACCCACTATTTGTTGATATATAAATATATATGCATTCGACTCAGCAGGCTCAAAGGCGCTTGACTAACTCAAGTTGAGGGAATAGTGACCAATTTCCTAGGGGTCTGTGACAAATGCAAACTCGCGAAACTATGTACTTTTGGCCTTTCCTCTCTTGTACCAAAAGTCAGAAAGCATCTAGAAAATAAAATCTTAATGCTAGATCTATTTTAGTGCAGCAAAGACCAAAGTCATGAACTTGTGACGTCACAAAAAGTTTCATAATACTCCGGAGGAAAGTGATGAATAAATAGAAATCAAGAATAAAATACAAACAAATTTCAATAGCATAAAGTTAGTCCTAGTTCAAAATTCAAAGCCTGATGGTAATAAATAAGTCACCCATTATAAAATCGAAGATGGTTGGAGCTCAAAGAACAGAGCAACTTTGAGTATAAAAATAGATTGATGAAAGGTCTTTACGTAGTATTAATTAGCAAACTGGACCACAGTCAAAGCCTATACATTATCTCACCGTGTACTTGGGTCAAAACAATACAAATGGATAGGTCTCATACTGTAGAAATCGTCAAGCTTAATCACAATGAAAGTCCTAACTTAGAATTCTCAAAGAAGTAGAAAAGGCAAAATACCGAAGGACAAGTTGCAGTGGTAATTGGAAGCAGAGATCAATATTATGAATGGTATTTGCCGAAAATTGGAAAGGATAGCCCAGGACAGAATTGACTGAAGATCGCTGTTCGTTAGTCTATGCATCATGACTGTTAACAACTTCAAGTAAGTCTTTATTTTCTCCATTATGTAAAAAAGACACTTAACATCAATACTTAGATAAATTATTAGTACTTATTATGTCTAAGATGATTAAACATCTGGAACTGATAGTTTTGGTTACTTTGTTAAACTATGCAACACCTCTCCATCTTCATAAACCATCATATTTGATACTACAGAACTGTGGTGTTTGAATGAACTAGTGACTTCTTGTTGTTGTTGAATGCTTGATTTCGAATTCTAAATACAGTACATTCGTTTGTGCTCATCCCGTAGTTCTTGATTCACATACTTCTAAACATCATAGTAATGAGTATCCTTTGTATTAATGGAACATTACTCTGTTTTGAAACAGACTATCACCCCGAAAATCAGCAGTAAATACGATTGTCATCCTTCTCCGATGTGTCTTTAACAGGCGTATGTGAACAAGTTGGTAAATGTGAGATAAGGAAGAGCCCTAAATATAAAAGCCATGAATAATTCCATATGGACTAAAATAGGTCATAGAAGATGAGTTAGGTAAATGAAAATCGATTCCAGTTGAGTCGTCCAATAAACCTGTTTTTATTAAGGCTCCACCAGAAGTGAGCGAAAGGACCATTAAAATTTGTGATGAATACAGCCAGACGCTAAATACTCTGCTTTGCAACGGGATTTTCCCGGGGAGAAAACTGACGATTCATTGTAAACATTATGAGGGTCAAAATAGTTTCTAAAGGAAACCAGAATGATGTATATTAACCAGTTCAGTATCCGAAAGCCTCCATAACAAAGGAGGTTGTACATAGGTTCTACAAGTTTTGTGTTATTCAGAAGAACTTGTATAGATACTATTAGTATTTTCGGACCTAATATATGCGGTGAAGGGAGTCTCAGCCGTTCAGTGCAAGAATAGGTCACCTGAGGTTTATAGAATGAAAGAGAATATGTCAATGTATCCAGAGTGGTCTTCATGTCTCTACGGTAAAACAATCACATCACTAATACTCATGTCCGCAACTTTAGAAGGTATTCATTCCACCAACCTCGGAGCAGAGAAAGTCGATGCACTCGTTCATCAGACTTTTTGGTGACCTGAGAGTGATGCTAATATAATTCGAAAAATTTAATAGCTTCCTTATAATAAACCTACAATAAATCCATGATCTGTATCTATGACTTACAACAACGTATCCATATCAATTAGAGTGGCCCACTCTCAAGTTCATATTATGCTATATTTAATTTTGCTTCATATTCTGGTGCTCACGAAGATTCCTGATAAAACATTTGCTTAAAAAAGATATTTATTCATGAAAGCATATTCGAAACATGAGTAAGTGGTAATGAAAATTATTCATAGCAAAGGATTCCAATAGCCTGCTCACTAATATTGGATTTCGCCACCTATTTCAATTTCCGTGATGGCCCCGGTTTAATGGCTTACGAGAAACGTTCGCAAGAAATGCGGTGAATGCTGTTCAATCAGTGAATTCAAGTAATCTTGATGGAGTAGATTAATACATGTTTAGTCTATTACTTTAATGCCGTAATTAGTGACTACAACACCATCAGAGGTACAGTTTCACCATAAAAGAACTGCTGACCATAAAGGTAATCATTATTTAGAGAATAGGTGGTCAGATATCACTTAGCTTGCAACAGATATTTAGACCGGGGTTAATGATGCTTGTGACTCCAACATAACTTTTAATTATTCTGAAACCGATCTTCTTCAGATAATTCTGAATGTCACACCGATGGTCTGAATTTCAGTTCTAATTATTTACCTGTTAGCAACGACCCTTTGGATGATTCCGGATTTCATTAGATCGAGACACTAAAAATCGGAATACTGAACAAGTGAAGAATGAATTGAGGACAATTAAGCAGTTAAAACCTAAATAACATGGTAAATAATAAACGCATTTACTGTACAACCAAATTTATCATTTTGTGTTAAATCTGTCGTAACTGCTGAATATTATTTCACACTCATACTTCAAATCTTGAGTTTTTGTTTGTATCTTGCAGAAGTGATAGACTCGTTAAGATTAGCAGTATGGAAGACGTCATTTATAAAGTTGCCTGTAAATAGCGTGCAGTGAAACATTGCATAGAAGATGCTGCCAGGAAGAAAAGTATCGATAGATCGAAGTGCATAGTATGGTCGAAGCATTTGAAGATCTGAAGAGGAGAGAGAGAGAAAAGAGTCCAGAAGCAGCTTCGAACACAGAACATATGTACATATGGTGCATATATTTCACAATCTGCACTTTTAAGAAATCTATGTATTACATCTGCACTTGAATTGTTCATGCAGAATTATCTCATGAGATTATTTCAAATTTATACTAAGGAACATTAATTTAGTATTCATCCTCAGAGTTCAATTATGCAAGGTGTGGTGGCCAGTGCCTCACTAGTTTTGTTGCGGTCGGTATTCGATATCTTCTTAGACTTCGTATCCTGCTCGTCAAGACAACGGTTGCTAAGTAACGGAACATCGTTTATAAGTAAAAAAGGAATGCAAAATGTTAAATAGACCTTAAAACCACAGACACAAAGCGAAAATGTTCTGCAAGTGTCGAAGGGGGAAAAGGCGAATGAATGAATGAGATTAAAATGTACATCTATATACGTTGGAAAATGGATGAGTCATCCGAAGATTTAGGAAGCTAAAATCAAAGCGTATAGGATATGTGCGTTGGTTTTAAGCAGTTTTCAGTAATACTGCTCAAACAAACCCGACAATAATAAAAGCCGATGTTGCAAGTTAATTATTGCTATCCGAATGATTTAGTTGAATAAGTTAATTCAAGGCCAAACCAAAAGCAAATGTATGTGGGGGTACCACAAAGGACAGCCAAATTTTTGATTTTTCTGTAGGTGAGCAATGGGCAGTCGAGTCGTAGATTTGCAAAATCAGTTCTGTCGATACACATGCTGCACGTTCTTTATTATGCTGGAGTTCAAGCAGTAGTTATGTTCATCACATAACAAATATACTAGGCCAGAAGTAGAATAATTTGAGTAAAAGAGTATAGCAATTCGTACGATATACTTCTTCGCGGGAGAACAAATGTTACAGAACTAACTCAGAGGATCGAGAAAGAAACAGATTCTAGAGGAAGAAGTATATTTGATACTTGCCTCGTGATATCGAAATAATACCGAGGTCAGAGGGCGTACAGAAAGCTAACGTCCACACAGGAGACGTGCGAAGAGGAGAATGGGAATAACATGCTTGGCGGGCGAGAGATAGTCTTTTGTACAGATAAACAAGAGGTGTACAGTATAACAATTATTGTCAGGATTAAGTACAATAATAAAAGTTTATATATCAGCAGTTGTGTTTTCTTCGTCAAACTAAACCACTACAAGAGCATGAAAATTACAAGGCCCATATACGCAAAACCTGACTCACGTTTAGTTCTTGATGACAGTGAAGGACTTAGAACTCTTCCTCTTATCCTTATCACTGAAAATTTGATTTATCTTCAAATGAATTCGCATCGTATTACCAAACTTCTTTATTACCCAACTTCAAGTTCTTTGAAAGATTTGTGGGTTTGTGAATATGGCCAAGTGTACAACTGAAGTCAAAACTTCTATTCATCAAGTTAGGCTTGCTCAAACCCAACTCTAGACATTATACGTCCTCATCACACCTGATTTATAGTGCATAAGTTCATGTATGGTACAATCCATCATTTCAGGCATCTGAATTGTTTTGTGATCATTGATTCATTAGTACGAAGCTCACAAGTAAGACCAGTTTCAATAACTGATCTAACTATTCCGCTGAAACAAACTCATTTGAATCACGGGACAAACAAACTCATAACTGCCAGCTGACTAAAATTGGTGTGTTCGAATGGCTGAACCACCATCAATTGCACATTACCAAATACATGGGACCGTACCAAAATAACAAGAACCATGCTCAAAGAAAGCAACTGGTTTACATCATGTCATGAAAAGGATATTGGATATTGGAAAAGTTGACCTTCAGAACGGCTAACCTTACATTACAAGATCTGTTTCTAGGGCACTAAAAGATGACGAAAGAAAAGCCAGGTTTCTTAACTCCGAAGGCTATATCCAACAGAATCAAATCCAAGGGACTTCAGAAGTTGCGGTGGTACTGTCAGATGTGTCAAAAACAATGTAGAGACGAAGTAAGCATTTGTATATTTATAGCCTCAATTTTTAGAATGGTTATAAATGCCATACAATGTCTGAGTCTCACCACAGACAAATGAAGCTCTTCGCTGAAGATGGTGGAAAGTTCATTAGTAGTTTTTCCTCCGAGTTTTTGAAAGGATACCTTGATATATTGCGTCGGCAGTTCGGTGGGAAACGCGTGCATTCTAATGTTGTTTATCAAGAATATATCAAAGACAAAGAACATGTACACATGAATGCAACAAGATGGCATACACTTACTGGGTTATGCATGTGGCTTGGTAAACAGGGAATTTGCAAGGTAGATGAGACTGAGAAAGGGTGGTTTATCGAATACATTGATCGTGATCCAGAAAAGTTGAAAAAACAAGAGCAGAGTGAGCGTCTGGAAAAAACAGAAGATGAAATCAATAAACAGTTTCTTGGTAAGCTTGTGCTTGCTCATACTATCAATCTATAGAGCGTCAAATCGAACACAATATCAGCAAAGTTGAACAAGTAGAAGGTCCTTTGTATACTCCTCTCATCCGCCCCAATGAAGATGAACCAATTAAATTGGAGATCTCTTTGTCCCAGAAAAAGCCACCTGTTCAGACAGCAAGCACAGAGACTGACCCCTCTCAAGGTCCCTCATCGGAAAAACCTCAAAGTCTGATGACGTTAGGCCCGAAAAAGGAGAAGACTGTAGTAAGCAATCCTGTTCTCTTTAATACTAGTAGTTGTTGCTTCGGTCGATCCAAGTCATAGTTCAGTGTGTTTTATCCTCTCATCAGGTTTTATTGAAGCTGAATTTTAAGCAAGTACTTGGTTTGTTCTGATAATGACTTCAACTTTTAGACATAAATTTCTACACTTGCGATCATGGTATTGATGCAGTCTTACCAGTTTAGCATTTTACGCACTTTCATTTTCAGAATCCACTCTTAATCGCTGAGAAAAAAGCACGTGAAGAAAAGTCAAAGTCCAGTTCTGAAAAAAAACAAGATGCACGTACCACAACAGCTTCTGCGGTTCGTCGACGTGCCTTGGATGAGCTGATGGAAAAAGAAGAAGCCTTTAAAGACAAGAGAAACCGAAGGGATTACTGGATGACAGAAGGAATTGAAGTAAAGCTAATTAACCGCAAACTTCCTGACGACCTACGTTGGAGGCATGCTACAGTTGTAAAGATGCTCGATAATTACACGGTTAGTTTAACTATAGTTACGTATGAACACCTAATCTCCTAAATCTCTGCCGGCAGATGAGTTTTTTTGATGCCAGTAAATTTTAACAGTTTATGTCAACAATTTTACCTAGTTAACTCGGACATATCATGCCACTTAATTTGTCAGACTGAGTCTTGTCGGTAGTTATCGACTACCTGGTTGGGGTCCGCGAGATGATAATAATCGATGGTTAGAGACCCTGAATAACATGGCTCAAAACGGTTTGCAATGGCGCCAGTGCATTTATTCTTTGTGTTCTCTCAAATCCTAATCTTCTGGATTCTTTAATACCTCTAGTTTTGTCTTTCTAAACTTATTTCACTGAATCATACTTCTTGAATAATATCTAATCCGAATCTCTCCGAAATACCTTTACTACCTCTACTACTATTGGATTTGAATTGACAGTTACATCTCTGTGCTAATGTGGTATGGCGACATGAACTGTTGTACTTACGTACGAAGTTCTACGTTGCATCTGACTGACTGGCTGACTAGATTTGTCAGACAGCGATTAGTTTACTTTCATCAAGCTAAAATGTGTTTACGATTCATTAGTAATCGTGAATCACAAGTATATAAACCGTTCAAATAGATGTTCCATTAAAGGATTTTACTGAAGTGTGTAAATATCTGAGCTGGTGACGTAACACGGAATTAATGACAATTTATTATCTTATTTACGCTCTATAACGTTGAGGATAATATTGATTGTTTTGTAATTTGTTCAACTTTCCCATCCCATTCATTTCACTCTGTCTTATCACCAAGTCCAATCTATTTCCTTATATCCTCAATCTGTATAATAGATGTTATGTAATTAAAGCTCTCAAAATAGACTAGTATGTGATTAGTGCATCCTCAGATACTTAAATCGCGGCCAAGTAATAAACCCACCATTTTATTTACAATGATCCTAACCTAATTTTTCCATTCTCACACTTTTAGAATGGTTAAAGTTAAGTCGAATGCATTAGTAATCACTTGCGTTCAAATTCTGAACCCAATCGGCTGATCAGGCTTTCCTACTACGACCATTCATTTGAGTTATATTGCTCAAAACACATTCCTTTAGGTTTCACCGTCACAGCCGGGTGGAAGTGGCAAACATATTTAGAGGCCAAAGTCCTACTTGCGACTGTACAAAGGTGTCACGGCAATCAGGTATTTCCCTCAGATGATGATAGCTTCTTATGATAGAAAGACAGGTTAGAAAAGTCAGGTCTCAGGCACCTACAACGTAGGACTTCTTACGCACATGCATCAGTTCAGTGGACAAACCACATAAACACTGATCTAACTATCAATTCAAATCCTATAGTAGTAGAAGTCCCGACCGTAGCTGCTACCTTGACGTGGTGGTCGGGCTTGCCAATCATGATAACGCAACCGAGCTATATTGGCTGGAACATATGTTCCTGTAAATTCTACCATGTCAGGCAGGTTGATTGGAGAACGGTAGGATTGAAAGCAGCAACTTAAGGTCTAACGGCGAAGTCGTACTACTGATCATAGAGAGGTTTGACAGCAGTAAGGTGTTTCTCTTGGACAACGAGCATCTGCAGTGTTGCTGCCTTCTCACAAGGAAGGAAGGAGTTAGAAAGGTCGACCCTAAAAATGTCACGCCTCACCTTACCTCACAGATTTCCATCTCCAGCAGTAAGGCCACTTGAAGAGTCGTGCTAACACTTCATGAAATTCCCACTCAAAGTTCGTGTGTGACCGGCCTAAGGCAGTTGTCCCTTGGGCTCTGCGGTTACGCTCTTTCAGCCTACCACTGCATTACAAAGCATGACTACTCGAGGAAGTCGGTGGTTAGGCATACGTAACACATGTCCCAACCACAACTAATGAAGACTCACTACTTCATGGGTTGATTCGCTATCCTTACTCAATACCCTTTTCCTAACTGCAGCATCGCTTACTCGATTGTCTCAAGGTATACGGGCAATGCTTCGCAAGCAGCGATGATCGAATACCAGTAACTTACGAATAATTTCTTCTTTGACTGGCTATGTTTCATATTCATAAAGTAGAACGGAGTGAACTGCTACGAAGTAAACTCGTCCTTTAGTCAGCAAACGAATATCTCGGAGGTTGGCAAAAGCCAATCGAGCCTTGTGTATCCGTGCCGAAATTTTGTCAGTCACCAGGCTATCGGCGCTGATGAGACTCCTGAGATAAGTGAGGCGGTCAACACACTCAACTGCTTCACTCCCTATCACTAGTCCAGGTGCCAACGCAAGCCTATTCTGAAGCAACATTTTGCATTTTGAAAGGGAAAACCGCATCCCGAACATGCTTGCATTGTTGCTTAAGGTGGTCAAGAAACTGCATTTTGTTAGTGTCTTCAAGTAAAACTATTTCATCTACATATTCTAAGTCAACAAGTAGATTTCATACTAAAAGATCAACTGAGAAGTCAGACGATGAAAGTGTCGTATCTAAAAGCACAATGATAAAGTTAAACAAGGATGGAGAATGTGGACATTCCTGATAGATGCCACTTGAAGTAATCAATTTTGATGATAGTTCGCCATAAGCTGTGACTCGGCCAGTAGTGCTCGAGTAGAAAGCCTGTACAAAGTTAAAGTACTTCTTTTGTACTCATTTGAATGACAGATCGTCGCGGAACCTCACGACTGACAGTCAAACGCCACCTTGAAGTCCAGGAAGGCAACTATAGTTGGACGCCTAAATGTGTTTCTGTGTTTCAGGACCTGTCGAAGTATGAATATGTGGTCTATACAGCCACGTCCAGCTCTGAAACCAGCCTGGTTTTCACTAGTCTGCTCTTCAAGAGCTCTAATAGAAGCTAAAATTTAGAAATCATATTAGTTAGACTGATTCCTCTGTGATTGTCACGAGAGGGCTTTTGTCCTTTCTCATAAATTGGGACAATCGGGGATTGAGACCAGTCGGATGGGATTGTGTCCAGTCCCCGAATTCTACCTAAGATCTCAGTCAATCTAGCTGCTAAAACTGGACCACCATCCCTGAAAATCTCAGGGATCAATCTATCAGGCCCTGCAGCTCTCCATCACTTTAGATTGCGGCTTTCTCAATCTCATTCAGAGTTGAAGGGTTTACAAATAACACCCAATCTACATTTATATCTTTTCATTAGCGGAGTAAGTTTCTAAGAGTACAGATATAACACATTACAAGTTATTCTAAAACAGTATGTAACTGGTTTCAAATTGCCGTATCTTTCATCAACTACTCTTGTTCTGTTATTTGTTAATTGTACGATCCTTTCCTCTCTTTTTTAAAAATACTATCACTCTTTTTGTGTGCATATTTTTTGCGCTCGAATGTATGTGCTATAAATGAGAACAAAGTTATGCTTCTGACTGAAAATTTTTTTATCCTTGTTACTGTTTAGGCTATCGTACGGACAGTGGAGTGTCACACAAAAATCAAAGTAGATCAAAACCATGTTCAAACAGTTATTCCTGAACCATTATCAACAGTTCTTATTGTTAATGGTGCTTATCGAGGAGAGTACGCTACGTTAGAGCAAGTTTTTAAAGAAAAGAATACATGTGAAATAACAGTGATGACTGTAAGATTATTTTCCAATGCCTTTTACGTTGCTTTCTGTTCTATTTTAATATTATTACTGAATCTTTAAATGTTTGAAGATTATCTGTGACAAATCTTCCTATGATCGTTTTGTCTGTTTACCGTAGTCTGTTTACCAATTGCTTATCACTTTACAGAATTTAAGAGTAAACAACCTGTATTTTACATATAAACTTTCAGAGTTATTTTATCGTTAATCCAAAACTATTACTAGTTTGTGTGCCATCTATTTATATATGGATCGCATAATCCCACCTTTCGGTTTTTAGTGGTATTGTGTTTTACAGACTGGATGGTTTAATCATAAAACATTAATTCACTTTCTTTGAAGAATGATTAATACAGACTGTGGAACGGATGGAGTTACCAGGATTTCTCCACGGATGAACAATAGCCTACTCTGTCAATCGGAAACATGATTGGTTACTGTAGGTAATATTGCTATTCTTGTCTGTATGTCATTTTATTGTACTTACGACACAAGTACTTTGGTACAACTGAAGGTCAGAAGAATGAGCCATGATTTGTAAACAAATTTTGTAATTGCTTGGACGCTGCAACTGCAAAAAAAACAAAATACTTTTGCAAAAGCATTCAATAAACCTGTTATTATAAATCAAGTATGTCGGCAAATGAGAAAATTTGTAACTAACTATAAAAATTAAGAAGTTAGGTAAAGGAAAATGGCACCAAAAAGTGTTTACATACCGTGATTAAACCTCTGCATTACTGAGGTTTCAATAATCCTTGGGATACAATCATAATCGAACACAGAGTTACTTGGCATCCTCAACTCGGTGGGGCCCGGTTTTACAAGCATAAAGCAATACTGTTCTCATTGATGCATTGTAAACCCGACCTTTTTCAGCCAGACTACTATCACGAAAGCGCCAAATATAGCTAGTATTGGCATAAGCCTGTCTGACTCTCACTATACGTGAATCCATCTCATCACTCATCACTTTTTCATTACTTCTATCCGCTCACTACCAAGAGTGAGTGCAAGTCCAAGGTCCTGCCAGTCTTGTAAAAGTACTTTGTTCTTGGAGGATGAAAAGCACATGCCATACCTATCGACCCTGATTGCCAATTGATTAAGTGCGGATTGTATGGCTTGGGAATCATCGCACAGTAAGATAGTATGATCCGCACACTCAAGTTTGAACAGTCTTTTTCCAAGTAACATATCCGCACCATCACCACCTACAGTCATCAGATCTGTTTCCGGAACGTCATCTATAGCAAAATTGAAGAAAAATGAAGAGATTTAGCAGTGGTTATGTAGATTATGCCAACTTTTTCTAAAGATTAAGGTGTCTGGAAACCTCACTGCCTGGAGATAAACGCATTCACCTAAATCACTGGACATTCAAATCAAAAAAATAACTACCGACTGACTGTATTTGAAACACTCTAATTACCGAACAGCTGTAAGCAACTCAGTCAGTCCCATAGTCAGAAGGTTGGCACTATCTTTAAAAAGAGCCGGGGATAAGTCATTTGGACCTGATAATTAGTAGCGCATCAGTAGCTGGGGTTTTTCTTACGGATCAGCTGTTACCGGCGTAGTATCGTAGTCTTCAGAAATGTAAGATGTTATGTACGCCTAACTTCCATTTACCTTTACTCAAAATTGTCCGGAAGAAATTCAGAGGTACTAAAACCAATATAGCATAAGCCCGTGAAGTCACTGACGTTTACTAAGCCATGTTGATGGATTCGAACCACTCGGTTGCGATCCACGATCTGTGTTAAAACATCTTGGTGAGTTACAGTATTCCATCACAAACAGATTTTCATCCTCTCTTCGAATCACATTCTCAATGTTGAGTCTTTTCCATTATCATAACTACTGCATTATTTCTACTCCTTTGCTGTACGTCGTGATACACATTTATAAAAGACTATATTGATCATGATCAACTGACAAACTAAAGTCATTACCGTAGTTTTTATATCTTTTATTCAATCATGTTCTTTCCATTACATGTTTTGATCTGTCTTTCTTAGAAGCATATATATTGATTTTTAGTACTTAAGTGACGATAAACAATATGTTCTCATCTGATTATGTCAGAATAAACCGACTGGTTCTCTTTTGTTTCTTTATCTTTTAAAATTGAAAATTCGATTTCCAAAATTAGTTTAATACTTTCATAATCACATAATTTATATACTTCAATCATAAACAGAACGAATCAGTCCATATCGATCAACTTCACCTCTTATACTAGTAATATATATTTTTGAACTTATATGCTTCAATTAAAATCATAGAAATATAAACATAAGATTCATTGGCGCTTTTGTCGTAAACTTTCTCTTTAATGCGAAAATCCGTTTGTAATGATTGATTGGTGGAAATGCGTACATGTCTCACATAACGATTTTTATCCTCAGTATAGCAAAGCAAGTGTATTTTACTGGATTTCACAAAGTTTCCATCAATGATTACATTCTGCCTTCATTTTTTTTCCTAGGGTCTGTGTATGGGTCGTTTGGTCAAAAATGTTTCTTTGGATGACATTTGCAAATTGTCAGAAGCAAGACAGGAACAGTAGGATTATTTTCATTTGCCTTTAGCTATACAGACTTTTGTTGTTCATTTATAATATGTACAGTATTTCCCAAATAACAATCAGATATACACTTCTTCTCTTTCATGTTATTATTTTTGAGCATTTTTAAAATGAAAAACCAGGTTCTTGTTATCATAAAAAAATCATTTTAGAGGAGTTGTGGTGGATATTAATTCGTCCATCTGAAAATTTTTATTAAAGTATCTAGTGAAGATTTGAATGCCTTATTTTTAATCATGTACAGAAAACTTAATTGTTGGAAAACAACTAAATCTAAGGTACTGCAGCACTCAGTGGTATACTTGGCATCGCTTATAAGTACATTAGTGATGTTGAGAAGGAATTCAAGAAAGTTCTGAGAATTGCAACAATACCTTAAATATTAAAGGTATGGTCATTATCATACTAGTGTCAGAATAATTGAATTTGTAAATTTAAATATTGGTATAATTCAATGTAATTTCTTAGAAGATGCATTATTTTGATTGCGAATAAGTGGGAAATTTTAGAGTTCATTATTGTAATGTACAAAAACACTAAGCTAGTAAATAAGAATATTCAATGGATAACAGACTTAATTAAGCATCGATTATAAGACAAATTAGAATATGAGGCTTATTCCAGTTCTAACTAAAAGGTACTATTGATACAATCCGCTAAATATGCACTTACGGTTTTGAAGACCAGTCACTTACAGTCGTCATTAACAACGGGAAACACAAACCATTACAAATTTTACTAATTAGTTTTGAGTGATGTAAACTATCAGCCTATCAATATTTGCAACTCAATCTTTTAGGCAAGGTTAGTGGTTAGTCATAGGGAAGTAAACAACTAGTTATAGATAATCTAGGTTCTGCCTACGACTCATTTTGGATATTCCCAACCGTAGCTGCGACCTTGACCTGGTGGTCGGGCTTGCTTATCGTTATGACCCAACCGAGCTATATTAGCTGAAATATATATTCCTTTAGGTTCTACTATGCCAAGTTGACCGATTGGAGAACAGCAAGACAAAAAGCAGCAGCTCAAGGTCTGCGGGTGAAGCCCTACTCCTGACTTTAGAGAAGTGTGAAAGCAATGGGGTACTCCCCTCGGAAAACCAACATCCGCAACGACGCTGCGTTCTCATGACTGAGGGAAGGAGTTAGAAATGGTCGACCCTAAAAATATTACACCTTACTTCACGGATTTCCGTCTTCGGAGGAAAGGCCATTTGAAAATCTGGGCTAAGAAGTTAAAAAGGCCGGCTCCAAGCAATTGTCCTTTAGGATCTGCGGTCACGCTCCCAGGTCGCTAACACATCTTCCTTCTCAAGTTTATCAAGAAATACCCTTCTACGGTGTGGGCAACTGGGAAGTGACATACACCTTCCACCGTTTAATAACTCCTTTGTCTCAATAATTAACCCTTCTCATATACCTATATCACCTTGCGCCGTTATTACAAATAGTTCGAGCCGAAGGAATGTTATTAGTGGTCCCCTGAAACCCCGCTCCAAACTACATGTTTGAGTTTCCAGTTGTCGTACAAACTGCTAGATAGTACCGTATGCTTCATTAGCTAGGGACTAAGAGTCTCGCGCCGTCGATACAAACTGCGTCTCCGAAACGCGCATATAGGATCCTAATAGAGTCATTCATTTCACTTTACCATGTCGAAATAAAGAATCATCTCGATATACTGTCCTGGAAGCTACATTGCTGCTTACTGTAGCCTCGCTGGTGGTGTTAATTTTTAAGACAGAACCAGCTCACTTAGACTGGATTCCATTTGACAGTCACTTGCGCACTGTCCGACTCGACGGAACAGAAAAACTCTCAAAAATAGGAACGCTCGCCGATGAATTTTACGGAAAACTTTCTAACCTTCAAAAGGTTCAGCCCCCAGATGAATAGGTTGAAAGAAAGCTAGGGGCGGCAAAACCAAGCACAAATCCACGAAGTCACTGACAAGTGGACTGAGTCATGTTGGTAGACGTAGGCTACATGATTGGGGTCCGCGAGGCGACCGTAACCGATGGTTAGAGGCCCTGAATGACATGGCTCAAAACCGTTTGCAACGGCACAGATGCATTCATGCTTTGTGTCCTCTCAACTTTTAACCTCCTTAATTCCTCATCATCTCTATCTCTCTTTCTGAAGTTATCTCACTGAACTACACTTGTCGAATCATATCTTTGAACCCTAATCTTCTCCATTACTGCTAATACTTCTACTATCTCTACCATTATGGGATTTGAACTAACGGTTGTGTCTCTGTGCTGACGCTGTAGGGCAACATGAACTGCTGTACGTACGTACGAAGTTCTACGTTTTAACTGACTGACTGCCCCTAGATGTAGTAACAGCGGTTGGTGATATCGATACTCAAGTAGGTAGATTAGGCTAAACTGAAAGACACCCGAGTCGATCTTATGGTGTTGCGACTCAAGGGACATAATGGCGACCGTCTGCTACAGCCATGCTCAGACGGTTGCCTGTTTTTGACTAACACCAACTATAGGCATAAAGAAAGACATCTTTTGACAGGGCGACTCCCGAAATTGACTCAACATTGGACTCAAATAAATCACAACGCTATCAACTACCTGTGGAGAGACTCCATTGAAGACTGCTGCTCATTGTGGGGCACGTGTTTAGATTTAAATCATGCTTTAGTGCGAGGGTGTATTTGTCTGCGTCTTATTGGGCGTATAAAAGACACTACAAGGATGCTTCTTAAGGTTCTACCTAATGATAATAAAGCTAAGAATATATTTCTTGAACAGCTAGAAAGACAGTTAGGTAGCCATGTAGTATGTGATGCCCATCGTCAGGCAGCTTGGAATGACATCAAAAAAGCTGTGGAAACAGCAATGATATCTTCCAGTAAGGTAAATCATGAGGTTAGGAAGAATCACTGGAATTTAGTGACATCTAGTGAACTGATAGGTGCTTGTAAACTCATTCTAGCTGGCTCTGAATGTGACGAAAGCTGAGTGAGCTTAAGCACAAGCTGATAAAAAAACACACAATGATTGCAATCAATGGTGGGTATCAAAATCGAAAGAGATGAGAAAGCCAGTGGCAATAGGTAACAGTAGATAACTGTTCAGAATTATCAAGGAAAACGGTATTAGAAGTCCAACTGTTAGCGAGACTATATCCAAAAGGATGGGACTACTATTCATTCTCATTCCAGAAGATTAAATCGATGAGCAGAACACTTTAGAGAATAATTCAACTATCCTCCAGCAACGTAACCACTATCCCCCCAACAACTTGCATGACAAACTGATGTCAGTTTTCCAACACTTCATGAGATTGATAAGACTATACACAGCCTAAAGCGAGAGAGTGCAGAAGATCCTGACAGATTAGGTCCGGCTGGGGTACTAAAGGTTCGATCAGCTATTGCTAACTCGCATTACTTATGGCGTCGACAAGATATCTGTCTGCTAACCAAAGGACGAGTCTACTTCGCAGTAGTTCACTCCGTTCTACTTCACGAATATGAAACATGGCCAGTAAGAGTAGGCGATATGCGTAGGTTACTGGTATTCGATCATCACTGCTTGTGAAGCATTGCCTATATATCTTGGGACAATCGCGTAAGCAATGCTGCAGTTAGGAAAAGGGTATTGAGTAAGTGTAGTAAATCAACTGATGAAGTAGTGAATTTTCATCAGTTGTGGTTCGGACGTGTATTACGTATGCCTGACCACCGAGTACCCCGAGGAGTTGTAGTGCCTCCACATTTATTTGCATCCGCTTACATTTAATTTGCTTAAGCCCTTTCGATTAATTTATTGAACCAAGCCATTCGCGTAGCAACAACTTATATGTACCATTGGCTTTTATTATTGTGTGGTTTGTATTAGCTGGTATGAATGAGCATTGCTTAACGCGCATATGCATCCTATTTGCTTTAATATTAATCTCTTAAATACCACGATGACTCATACATTTTCCTTTGTATATATACGAACATTTTAATCTTATTAATTCATTCGCATATTCGCTCGCTAGTGTGTCTGCCCGGTCTGCCCGTGGTCTGCTATTCTTTTTTGTGTGGTGCCACAATAAACGTATACGATACTTCGAATTCATCCTCTGATTTATCAACCGTCAGACGCCATTTAGTAACGATTGTCTGAACGAGCTTATTACGAAACTTAAGAACACCTCGAAACCGGCACAGAGTCATGCTTTGTAATAAAGGGGTAGGCTGGAAGAAACCAAGGGTGGCCAAAACAAAACATGTCACTAATCCATGAAGTCACTGACAACTGGACTGAGCCATGTTAGTAGGTGTAGACTACCTGATTGGGGTCCACAAAACAATTGTACCCGGCGGTTAGAGACTTCGAATGACGTGGCTCAACATCGTTTGCAATGGCGCAGATGCATCCATTCTTTGCTTTTTATAATTCTACTCTACTGAATTCCTCATGACCGTTTTCCCTCTTTTTAACTGCACTTCACTGGATCATACTGCTTGAATAATATCTTCGAACCTGAATCTATTATATAACCGCAAATACTTCTACTACTGCTAGTACCATAGGATTTAAATTATCGATTCGATCATTGTGCTACTATGAAACCATAGTAGGTTTAAAACTTATCGGAAGATAATGAACTTATGTCACAGTCAAGCTTATTCATGTTACCTAAGTTTCATAACCAGATTACGATTATACTGAAGCCCCCAACCAAAAAGTGTAGATTTTACATGGACTCAGAACAGTGTATTGACTTTGCAGACTGATTCCATGCCTCTGGTACCAAGTATCATCCTTCGAGCCGGCATCCAGTCTGCCTTGAAGCAAAAAAATCTGTTGAATTTCTCAAAACACGGTTTTAATTCAGATAGTCCGATCTGATTATGGTTGTTATTTCTAGCTCGCTTTAAATTAAAACAAGTTACGACTGGTGAGCGATCGCTCTGAAGAAACTATTCGTAAAAATGATTCTCGTTAATCAGAGATTTAATTAAGATTAAAACTGTTCAGCTATAGATCTAGCAAGTGTATATATATCACAAAAAAGCTGTTAGGTCAACTAAATTTGAATATTTTAACTGATATCCAATCAGTGACGAACCAAAGGTTATTATTATCAATCAATATCCAGATGACTTAAGTATCAGATGTATGTTGCATCGACAAAATCCAGAGAACATAGTTCAGAGAAATCATCAGTCATAATAGCATGTTAATGCCAGTGGTTAACAATAGTCATATTACAACAATATGCATAGACTGACTTATGTACATGTTTATTACCCATATTATCTACAGTTTCCTAAAATTTCTATTATTTATTGTTCTCATTTGACTGTCATTGGTACATCGTCTAGTTATTAAGATATTAGGTAGAAACAAGTGATCAGTTATTGGAAAATCCAATAATAATTTGGCACTAGTTAACAAAGTATGTTTCAAGAGGAAAATAGTGTGAAAGGTTAATAAATAGTATTAAAAGTTCAACAATTTATTTACAGCTCTTGATAACGAAATTGAACATTGAATAATTTTTGGTCGGTTTTAAGAAAGGCGCCATCGTTGCTGAAATACAAGTACATTCAATAAACATGTACAAATGTAGTTGGAGATTCAATCTTCTTAAAATCTGTCCAATCAACGGCATTCTACAAGTCCTAAAACATATTAAATTAGGTGTGATAAAATTCTGAAATTGTTCAGTTTGAGACTTTTTGCTAAAGATTTGTCAGCAACCTAAAATAAGTTTGAGATGACCGTGGAAATTCATACCAAGTTATTTACTATATGTGAAGTTTTATTAGATTCGTAAATTGATCAGTATTAGATTACCATTAGTGTCCTGGAAGTAATAGATGGCCGTTCCGTCCTATTGTGGGACTCATCAGCAGTGTGCATCCACGACTTAGAGAGTGAGAACCGAAAGCACTACCGTTGATCTCATGCTCAAACGCTTAACCTTTAGACCACTGAGCTGACATTCAATGATGTTAATATCTAAATCCAAACAGTGCATGGAATTGCGCTACCTTATCCATTATCTCCGATGGGTAACTGCCTCACTCACACTCTTCATGGTTGAATTAAAATGATACATAAACGCAGTACAAAGCTACACTTCTTGAATACTAAACAGTTATTAAATTACAATAAGTTTTACTTGGTTCACCACAATGCAATAACTCGACTAAAGCGTCTCTGACTATTTCACCAGCATGCAATTTCAATAAACACTGTCCAAGCTAGACATATATACATTTTGAAACAGTATATGTGAATGTGAGTGTTATGAATGCGATGACTCATTGAGTTCTCTCATGTGTTTAATCCATCAATATATATATATATATATATATATATATATATATATATATATTTGTAACCATGAATCGATCAATGTTAGACCACCATTAGAAACCTGGAAGCACTGGAAGACGGCCGTTTCGTCCTGGTATGGGACTCATCAGCAGTGCGCACCCACGATTCCTGCTACTAGCAAGATTCGAACCCGGGACCGTCAGTCTTGTGCGCGAACCCCCTATCCTCTGGACCACTGAGCCGGTATACAACGGTGTTAATGTCTAACTTGATCGAATCCGCGGAGTTGCGCGACCTCATACCCTGTATACATCCGGACAGGTTTGAACTTCACTGGTCACGACTTCCCACTAGAACTCGGAGAAGATTCCTCACCAAGCTAGTCACTAGTGGACACATGTCATTGCATTGCGGGAGTCGTGGATGCGCACTGCTGATGAGTCCCATACCAGGACGAAACGGCCGTCCAGTGCTTCCAGGTTTCTAATGGTGGTCTAACATTGATCGATTCATGGTTACAAATAAAACTTAACAATCTTCACAACAACCCCGCAATGCAATATATATAACAGACAGCATATTCAAAGATCTTTTTCATGGTTAGAATCGGTACTTTTAATTTTAAAGGTTTGAATACAAAATCTAACTGACTTCGGTGAATGTAGATTAATAAGTTGTTTTGTCCTTACAACATCCTGAGTGATGTGATTTTTTTTAAAAACAGAATTGTGATTGGCTACTTTCAACAACCAATCGGATATTAGGAAAAATATTTAAATTTCCTTCTTACAGACTATGAAATATAACAACTCAAAAAAAAGAACACATTATTTTAAAATTTCCATAAATACACTAAAAGAAAATGATCAAAACTCAGAACTTCTGCTTAAATGTAATTTTCGTAGCCTGTCTGATAGTATCATCATCATCATTATTACTACTGACTTTTGGTAGTACACATATTCAAAAAAATACTTCTCAAAATTCATCTACTTGTCAACTACAACTAGAATGTATTGGAGCTAGTTCATCTGGATATGGTCGTGTACGTATACCGGTTCGATCAGCTAGAGGTCCAGCTGGACCAACAGGGGAACAAGGAAATCCTGGACCACCTGGTCCACGTGGAGAAACAAGTAAGTTGGACAAAATTTTAATCATTTATTATAAAATTGAACTAAAGTTTTAATCTTTAAATCTTAAATGATAACTTGTAGGACAAATAGTTTTAAAAAAAATGAGCCTTTCATGATGCCTAATTACTTTATGTCTTTCATTAATGAATTGTAAGACAGTGAAGTTAGTTAGATTCGTAATGTTAAAAAGTGTGATTTTATTCATATAATGAATCTCAGAAAATATATAGATTTTATACAACTATTTGATCGACCGACTTACGATAAAAACTCAAGCTGTAGTATGTAAACACTCAAAAATGCAATCTAAGAATGTTATTTTTTTGCATTTTCATAGTTGTATAAAATTTTCATAAATGAAACTACTGTCATCTTTTTAGGCCACCTGTGGAGCTTCAAAAAATTACACTTGAATTCTAACAAATCATGTTTGTCTTTGTTTAAATCGAAACTGGTATCAAATTGCGGGTCACTAAAAATTGTTTCTAAACAATGTTTTGATATTTGATGGTTGAAGCCATACGATAAGATTTAATCACTTAGACAAGTGAAAATTGATCAGCGAAATTTGTTGACCAATACAGACTGAAATAACATGATTTCAGTGATCATTCAATGTTTCTCTTAACAAGTGTCTCAAATATCAATACAATTAATTTCTAAAGATTAAATTACTAATTTAAATTTAGTGCATTCATTACATTTTTAAACCTGAAATGAAGTATGTTTATCTTACTTAAGATTATATAGAATGTAAAGTGTACATATTATTTGTACAAGCAGTTCGTAGATTGCTTGTCTTCGATCATAGGTGTCTCGTGTATTCTGGGACAACCGAGTAAGCAATATCATAGTTAGGAAACGAGTTCTAGGTAGGGATGGCAAATCAATAGATGAAGTTGTGAAACTTCATCAGTTTAGGTGGTTTGGATATGTGTTACGTATGCCTAACCACCGACTGCCTCGACGAGCTATGTTTTATAGTGTAGGAGTAGATTGGAAGAGGGCCAGGGGCGGCCAAACCAAAACATGGCAGAAATCCATGAAGTCACTGACTAGTGGACTGAGTCATGTTGGTAGATGTAGGCTATCTGGTTGGGGTCCTCGAGACGAAAGTCACCGATGGTTAGAGACCTTGAATGACATGGTTCAAAATCGTTTGCAATGGCGCAGGTGCATCCACTGTTTGTGTTCTCTCAAATTCTAACCTTATGAATTCCTCATAATCTCTATCTTTCTCCTTCTAAATTTGTCTCACTGAATTATATCCTAATCTTTTCCATTACTGCTAATACTTCTACTATCACTACCACTATGGGATTTGAACTGACAGTGGCGTCTCTATGCTGATGTGTTACGGCAACCTGAACTGATGTACTTACGTACGAGGTTCTGTATTGTATCTGTCTGTCTCTCTGTCTGTCTGTGCATATTATTTATCCGAAGAAGATAAACTTTTATATAATTCTACTATTTTTTATTCGCATTGAATCAATTAACGACAGGTATCCTATATAATCATTAAACTTAATTCATCATACTAAGACCATATTATTTTATACAATGAAGTTGAGATTAATAATAATAATGTTTTTGTTTTTTTTAATTTTAATATTCAATAAAAATGTTATAACCTCAAGTGTATAGAGTTCTATTAAAATTTATATAGTATGAACTTATGAGTTTAGTAGTGTAGTCGATGCATCCGATGACAAACTAATATATAATCAATCTCATAAGCTAAAACTTTAAATTTAATCTAAGTTTTAAAAAAAAAAAAGAAAAACTACACGTTAACATTGCATCATTCACTTTTTAAATAAACAGTTAAATAATCAAAATTACTAGATAAAATGCACTTGATTAAAATATTGATAAGGTTGATGATAATTTTAACTGTACAACTGGTAAATAACTTCTGCGTACGATTTATAAATCGACCAATATTTACCATCTGATTGTTTAATAAAAGTATGCCTTTAGTTTTAACAAAATAAAACATTAATGACAATTTAGTGAAGTACAAATTTCTGTTAATCGATAATAATTGTATTAATTATTAATTTTACAGGTGGTAGTCTGTAATAAAACAAAGGAGTGTTACATCATTGAACATGATTATTAATAATAATCATTTGTTTTGGAGTATCAAATATAGTGGTTTAAAGAAATGGAGAGATGTTGCATTGTTTAACAAAGTAACCAAAGCTCCCACCTTGAACTACATTCTAATATGTATCTATCAGTTTACTTGCTTTTGTGTAGTAGATTATAGTTACTGTACACAGTGTGCACTTAACAAACGACTGTTGTAGTACAATAATAGATGACAATTTGAAAAAGAGTTCAAGTCAGTCACTACTTTAGTCCTTGAACACATATTCAACTTTGGTCACATGCATCCGCATGAATCGTCAATCAGGACTACTGACAAAGGACTGTCTGAAGAAGATATGAGTCAGGAGTCCGTGCACTGCTAATCCGGAAACAGTGACATGGATGAAATAAAAATTTTCTTCACTCGATTGCCTGTAATTTTTATTTCCTTGATCAAATAAGTTTAATTTTTCGTTTGATCTGAATAAATTTAAAACATAACATTATCAGAAGATATCAATATATTCTTTATCATTTTTAACTGGAATAAACCCACAAATATAGCTGCTACGTTGATGTGCTGATTGGACTTGCCTATCGTGATGCGTCAGTCAAACTATAGTTGCTGAAACATATGTACCTTTAGATCCTACAACGCCAGACATATCTTCTGGAGAACGGTAAGACTAGAAGCAGTAACTTAACGTCAGAGGGAGATGTGGTACTGTAGACAGTATATCGTTGTTTGTTGAATACACAGGAAAACTCCGAATCTTCTGATCGCTTTCAGCAATAAAGCAAGCATGTCCGCGATGTCATTCTCTCCCTCTGTCGGCATAATATTACTTCAGGGTGGCCATGTGTCATTACTTAAATCAATGATAGGGAATATAGTAACTGAATGTATCGACTACTTCATTCATCTCGAGAATTTAATCACTTCTGATGGTTTGGTGTCTGTACCATTTACGTCACTTATGGCACAGGCGAGTTATCCGTCTGCAAACTAAAGGATGAGTTCGTTCGGCTCTATTTTAAGCTTGTTAAAACATCGACACAAAGAATAGAGGATATTCATAGGTGTCTAATGTGGTGTTGAGTACTATATCTGCCTATGTGGGTAATTCTAGCTTTTGTATGGACCAGTTATTTTATTCGTCTCACACGTTTTAATCTAATCAACTGTTCGATTACAACTTTCAGCATATATGTGTATATCGCTTACTCCATTCATCACATTTATTTAGCATTAATCGTTGCAATAGACAATGTATGTCAGAGCAGCTGCAAAAGTATAATGTTTTCTTAAAGTCTTACTTACCAATGATTACCACTAATCCCCAACCGTAGCCGCTACCTTGACGTGGTGGTCGGGCTTGCTATCGTCATGACCCAACCGAACTATATTGGTTGGAACATATGTTCCTGAAGGTTCCACCATGCCAGGCAGGTCGATTGGAGAATGATCAGAATAAAAGCAGCTACTCAAGGTCTGAGGGAAAAAGTCGTACTGCTGACTGCAGAGGGCTGTGACAGCAGTAAGGTGTTTCCCTCGGACAACCAGCATCTGCAGCGTTGCTGCCTTCTCACAAGGAAGGAAGGGTTAGAAAAGGTTGGCCCTAAAATTGTCACACCTCACCCTACCTCCGTCTCCGTCGGTAAGGATGCCCACTAAGGGCTTTTAAGAGCGGAGCTAATACTCAAAAAACCCTTCATAAAAAGGCTGTGAGTGACCGGCCTCAAGTAATTGTCCCTTGGACTCTGCTGTCAAGCTCCCAGGTCGTTATGACCAACGCCAATCTACCTTCCTTTTCAGGTTCCTCAAGAAACAACCTTCCACGGTGTGGGCAGCCGGGAAGTGACAACCGCCCTCATACCCGTAACAGCACACGAGACCAAATTGGTCAAAATCAAACCCTTCATACACCACTAATCCTCATCGGTTATTTCCAATTTATCAACATAATAATCAATAATCATATAGAAAGAAATAGCTCAATGTACACATACAGATTTTATTGATTAACTAATAATGATATAACGCTAACTTAGTTACTATAAATAAACTATAAAGACTGAGTTGATAAATGTCAATAATTAAACTTTATATTTACTAAGTAATTTGTTAACTAAACTTGATTTTATAAAAATAGTTTGGTCAGTTTTGTTTTCTTTAAAAAATTTTCACTGATATCTGTCAAGCTGAATGTTAATTTCGATGTAAATTCGATAAAAATTTTAATTAGTTCAAGTGCTACCTTTTTATTTAAGTATAGGTTATATATATATAGCTCGATTTTGTTGAATGACTCGAAATTTATCGATCCATGTACAAATTAGGATAGACGACTGTTAAAATCACGTGATTCAATAAATCTGCACAAAATGTTGACTATAATCGTTACATGGTCTTGTCAAGGTCGTTTTCTTTTGTACAAAAGAAAATAATTTGACATTTTTTTTACTAGACTATATAACAATCGATATTATGATGTAATTCTAAGCTAATAAGAAAAATTCACTGTTTTTCAAAGTTAAGTAATTTTTCTGAGAATAACAAAAAAACCAAGTTTAAAATATTCTTCATTTTTTGATCTAGTTTCATTGTATTGAATTTACAAAAGATTGTTGTATTTGAGATGGTGGAGAAACTTGTAGCTCAGGTGGATGATTGTGGTGGTGTTTCGTTCTCTGAGCTGGTTGTTTTGGTTGTGGAGCTTTCATTGTTCTTCTGAACAACATCATCAGCACAAACTAACTAGTTTGTGCACAAGACTGTTGTATGATCTAAATGCATAACTGATTATATGAATAGAAATTTTTTTTTCTAAATGAATAAATTATTTAGATTTATAGATTAAAAAAATAATTATTTTTTTTCATACGACAACAGATATTTAATTTTCATTTTTTAATAAATTGACCTTCTAAAGTATTTTTCATTAAAAGAAAAGTTTTTTTTCATAATTCAACTTAATTAATCAGTTAATATTTAAATAAATTTAATTTTCATTATCACTTTTAAATGAACTGATGATAACTAGGAAATAAGTAGTAGATAACTACTGTACACTTTAGTTTAGAATTTTTTTCATTAAAATGCATTCATGAACATAGTAGTGATAATAGTGGCATTGCGGGGTTGTTGTGAAGAATGACAAGTACCCATCAGCCGTACGAATCCACAACTCCTGCACCCCCCAGGATTCGAACCCAAGACCTTCGGTATTGTGCGCGAACGCCCTAACCGTTACACCACTGAGCCGGTGGTCTAGTACTGATCGATTCATGGTTACAAATAAAACTTAACAATCTTCACAACAACCCCGCAATGTAATTACATGTGTCCACTAGTGACTAGCTTGGTGAGGAATCTTCTCCGAGTTCTAGTGGGAAGTCGTGACCAGTGAAGTTCAAACCTGTTCGGATGTATACAGTGTATGAGGTTGCGCAACTCCGCGGATTTGATCAAGTTAGACATTAACACCGTTAGATACCGGCTCAGTGGTCTAACGGTTAGGGCGTTCGTGCACAATCCGAAGGTCCTGGGTCTGAATCCTGCGGGGTGCAGGAGTCGTGGATGCGCACTGCTGAAGAGTCCCATACCAGGACGAAACGGCCGTCTTCCAGTGCTTCCAGGTTTCTAATGGTGGTCTAACATTGATCAATTCATGGTTACAAATAATAATAATAACTTTATTCAATGTTATATATTTAATACAATGAAAAGTTATCGACTGAATGTTATCCATTTATGTCTGTTAATGAGGATGATAATGTTATACCAGACTTTTAGCTTCAGTTATTCTGTCATATTACGTGATTCTAATTCATTGTCATATGTAAGTAGTAATTGTCCCGTATACACACATTATTTAGATGGATTTACAGGTTATAATTTCGTATGGGAAATTCAGAAAATCATTAGTGATAACACTTCAACTACATCTACTGACTTTACTTAGTGGCTTACAAAATAGGACATGATATCATTCAGTAGCGCTTTCGAAATATCAGAATAATACTATACCAACTGACGAAATCACGGTATGGATATAGAAGGCTCGATTGGCTTTTGCCAACTTACTTCACTTATAGTGTAGGCGAGATATCTGTTTGCTAACCAAAGGACGAGTCTACTGCGCAGTAGTTCTCTCCGTCCTACTTTATGACTGTGAAACACGGTCAGTCAGAGTTGAAGATAATCGTAGGTTACTGGTTTTCGATCATAGTTTTCTTTGCTCGTGTATCCTGAGATAACCGACCAGGCAATGCTGTCGTTAGGAAACGGGTACTAGGTAAGGATGGCAGATCAAAAGATGAAGTAGTGAAACTTTATCAGTTGAAGTGATTGGGACATGTGTTACGTATACCTAACGACCGACTGCCTAGTGGAGCTATGTTTTGCGATGTAGGAGTAGGTTGAAAGAAAACAAAGGGCGGCCAAGTTAAAACATGGCACAAATCCATGAAGTTAATTGACGAATGGATTTGGTCAGTTATTCTGTCATATTATGTGATTATCATATGTAAGCAGTAGTTGTCCCGTATACACACAGTACTTAGAGGGATTTACAGGTTATAATTTTGGAGGGGAACCTCAGAAAATCAATTTCACAACTAAACATTAGTGATAACACAATTATTATTATTATTATTGTCACTAAGTTCATGTAATCTTAAATGTTTCAATATTCCCATTTAAAATAAAAAACGATTTGATTGAATATCTGTTTTGTTTATTAGAGAAGACTGAGGTAGGCGAAGAAGATTGTATTATGCTAATTTACACTCTCAGTCAGTTAATAACGAAAACATTACATTGAATACTCTATTTGCACACCATCTTTGAGTCAAGACTTCCAACACTCCATCCTTCTTCTATTCCTGTTGTTGCTTCCTTTCCTTCCTGTTGGTAGTCCATTTACTTCTTGCTTTTGCTCCATTTGCTTTCCGTTTTCCTCTTCTGACCGTAAGACTTCTTCTTTCACGTCCCTTCGTATACTACTTATATTGTTCGTATAAATAGCACACACCACAATCTATCTTGTTTACTGTGTTTGTGTATCTTTTTTTTTCTGAAGCAAAATTACAACCAATATGGATTCCAAGACCAGTACAATATCAAATAGCATTTTATACAGGTTTATCAAAAAGTATTGAAAATAAACCAATGAATAAAAATTGTCAATTAATCTTTGAAACAGTTCTATTAAATCTTGGCAATGGATATAATAATACTACAGGTGTATTCACTGTACCTATTTCTGGTGTTTATATATTTGTTGTAGTTATTTCAGCACAAAGTTATGAAAAAGTAAGTGAATAATTAATTTCGAAGTGATTCAATTTTTAAAAATGTTGACTACTTCTTTATCATTCAGATAAATTGATAATATTTCATTTCAATGCTAAAATAATCCTGTTACAAGTGATCATGAGTATTCAGTGATAAAATGAGATAATTCGTTTGACGTAAAAATCAATAAATCTTTGTTCTTAATAACTAGTCATCCTACTGCATATTGTCATCATTCTAAAAAGCATCACACTGTATTGTTAATGATATATAAGTGAATTTAAATCTAGAGTAAGTATCTGGAAGTAATGTTTTTCATGTTAATTGAGGTTTGAGTAAATTGATCTATTTATGATGAATTAAGCTGCCAAGTATAAAATTCTCTGTCATATTTACTACAGATGATCTATAGGCAAGCAAATTGATTTGACCAATATTTTACCGTTCTGAGTAATAGTAGTAGTAGTAGTAGTAGTAGTAGTAGTAGTGTAGTGAACGAGAACACAGGTGGAGCAACCCGAATTGTATTTAACGAAAATTACAAAGTTACTCAGTAAAACGGGAAAAACCATATCGTAAATTGTTAATTTGCAAAATATCAGTTCATCATATCGAACTGGACTGTTCCTGTTGCAAAACATCAATCCATTGTCACTATTCATGCGTTTCATACAAATTCCATTGTTACACATTTTTGAAACCATGAACCGATCAATGTTAGACCACCATTAGAAACCTGGAAGCACTGGACGGCCGTTTCGTCCTGGTATGGGACTCCTCAGCAGTGCGCATCCACGACTCCTGCACCCCGCAGGATTCGAACCCAGGACCTTCGGTATTGTGCGCGAACGCCCTAACCGATAGACCACTGAGCCGGTATCTAACGGTGTTAATGTCTAACTTGATCAAATTCACGGAGTTGCGCAACCTCATACACAGTCTTCGGTAGTTACTGTCTACACCCGAACAGGTTGAACTTCACTGGTCACGTCTTCCCACTAGAACTCGGAGAAGATTCCTCACGAAGCTAGTCACTAGTGAGCACAGGTAATTTACATTACGGGGTTGTGAAGATTGTTAAGTTACACATTTTTGAAACCATGAACCGATCAATGTTAGACCACCATTAGAAACCTGGAAGCACTGGACGGCCGTTTCGTCCTGGTATGGGACTCCTCAGCAGTGCGCATCCACGACTCCTGCACCCCGCAGGATTCGAACCCAGGACCTTCGGTATTGTGCGCGAACGCCCTAACCGTTAGATACCGGCTCAGTGGTCTAACGGTTAGGGCGTTCGCGCACAATACCGAAGGTCCTGGGTTCGAATCCTGCGGGGTGCAGGAGTCGTGGATGCGCACTGCTGAGGAGTCCCATACCAGGACGAAACGGCCGTCCAGTGCTTCCAGGTTTCTAATGGTGGTCTAACATTGATCGGTTCATGGTTTCAAAAATGTGTAACTTAACAATCTTCACAACCCCGTAATGTAAATTCCATTGTGTTCTAACTCTTCCTTTCTTGATCTTCCCCATCTTCTGCTGCCAGACATTACGTTGACACTCACTTCATATACTACTTATAAGTAACTCACACCACAATCCTACTCCATATTGTTATCATTCTAAAAAGCATCATAATGTATTGTTAATGATATATAAGTGAATTTAAATCTAGAGAGTAAGTATCTGAAAGCAATTTTTTTCATGTTAATTGAAGTTTAAATAGATTTATTAACGTTTTATGATTAATTAAGCTGCCAAGTATGAAATTCTCTATCAGATTTACTACAGATGATCTATAGGCAAGCAAATTGATTAGACCAATATTTATCCGTTTTCAGTAGTAGTAGTAGTTGTAGTAGAGGTTACTTCCTCTTTAGCTCGGCTCCAATATTATCATGTCTAGTTAACAGTATACTTTCAAATGATCGAAATTCAAATCAACATTTGAATCAGTTATGTTGAATCTTGAGAGTGGATATGATAACACTGCAGGTGTATTCCCTGTATCAGGTGTTTCTATATTAGTTGTGGTTATTTCGAGAAAAAGTTATAAAAATGTAAGTGAATAATTAATTTCGAAGTGATTTGATTTTAAAATTCCCACAACAATATGTTAATTAACAATGTTGAATATTGAAAACATTCATATATATGTTTATCGCTTAAACAAATTTCATGTATATACAATAGTTTTTTGACTGATGATATAGTTCTGTTTCAACAAGATACTTTATAGTTTTTTTTCTTCAGTTCAAAGTTTAACACCATATTTATCAATAGACCCATGGGTATCAGTGAGAATTATTTAAATAGCTATCACTAACCAGTGAATAGATATAGGGTATTAGTTTACATATCTGTATATTGTTATTATTTATTAAGACAATAAAAATAAATAGTCACTTTTAGCACTAATGTCTTGTTGTAGTGTTAATCGCGGAAATTAAAAATCGCTTGCATTCATTGAAGTCAATATTTACAATACTTGTGATATACAGTCAGTTACAGTATCGATGATGTTAAGATTGACATAATTTCCATCAGTGAACTTCAAATTAAGATTTGACAACTGACTGAAACATTCGGCGATACTTCATTTAGATTAATTGGTATTCTTTTTATCTAGAAAAATTCCTTATTGTGTTAAGCAAAGTTCTTTCTATTTAAAGGTGACGTAACGTTCACTTTAGACTTTTTTTCAAAAGTTGACCTGTTTGTAATTTTACATGTTATCCAAATTACAAATAAAGTTTAACTATGCACTAGATATTTTAATAAAATATATTTTCAATAATGCAAATACAATAAAGGTTTGCAAATGATTATGAAATAATGCAGTAGATTGGTGGTATTGTGTTTTCTAAGACAAATTGTCTAATTGAGAATCACACTTGCATAAAGTATGTATTGATGATGCTTTAAAAAAAACCATAATCATGGAGTTTCGTTATCGGAGCTCAGAGAACGAAACTTCATCATAATAATCCACCTGATTTTTCATTACTTTCGATTTTCATTACTTTTTGGCATCCTCAGTCAGTATGGACACATCTCAGTTCGTGAGGAAAGAAACCATTTTCATATCGTGATAAATCCTACATCTGTCTATAGTCACAAACCATAAGCTTCCTAATAATCGATAACCTACACCAAATTCTTACCAAATTCCCAATCCTCTTATGAGAACACTAGAAACACAAGCTAAGCACATTGTATTACCTAGTATAATTCAAACTTAGACACTCAAAAAATGTCATGATGGTAAACAAATAAATGACTGAAATTTAGAAACATTAGGGATGAAGTATGCATAAACGATTAACCATATGTAAAAAATTAATTATTAGAGTTATGATTTAGTGACAACTTAATACAAAGCTTTTTGCACAAATAGCTCATGTTTGAAATGATGAACTTATACTGCCTCTGCAGAAAAATCATTCTCATGGTATTATTCTAAATTAGTTAGATTTATAGTTTAAGCTAACTAGTTTGAAGGACTGTTCAAACGTTAACGTTAGCGTGACTATAGTTTTAACTGGAATAAATGATAATCTAACTTAAATGCATACTTACTAATCCTATGTTAACAATAATGATTGTAAAAGGCCCACCAAATATGTTTTACCTGTCTATCTGATTAATATTAATTGAAATCTAATTACCTGACTGTTATTATTACGGAGATCAACAATCGTCAGAATACAGTTCATCAAGTTTCACTGGAGAGTGTAAAGAACAATGTTTTCAGGAATACAGATAATGATGAATGCTGAATGTGACTTTTTGGTATTTAAAACTCGTTCAAGGTTAAAATTTCCAAATATTTCTGAAACGTTATTCACACATACCTCTGTAAATAGACCAACTCTTAGTTGTTCTAAATAGACACACACACACACACACAATATAGCATGACTAGAGTAATAACAGTGAAAATTTGTTACCAAATTTAAAAAAATCACAGTACTTGTTGAAAGTAGATTCTTTATTGTACTTTTAGAAAAATATGTTTTCGATTAGTTGTAAGGCTAATGGGCCGGAAATATATGGAACATATTTCACACTACTACAAATGTTATTCACCCTTTCAATCATCACATTCATCGGCGTGCGCCATTTTACACTCGCCTTTTTGACAGTAAACTCTGCCTGAAACCGCTCTAGGGCTACTGCCTGTCCCAAGCCCGTTAAGGACGGTTAAGCATGGGGTTGGTTACCCTATCCCAACAAAAAAAACGCTGACCAGAAAACATAATTCGAACCATTTTAACTCTGCCCTTGGAGTTAGAAGGTCTTCATTAAGAAAAGTTATGACTTCTCATGATGAAAGCCGAATTCATTCGGAAGTCACAAGCCCGATGCTCCTTCTAACAACAAAAGCAACCATTCTCTTAGGCACATGGTAAGTTCGAACACTGTGGGAAACTGGAAGACTATTTCAAGTTGCTGCAGAAATGAGAAGATACAAGTTAATAGGAATCAGTGAAGCTCATTGGCCGCAGGTAGTTTTTGATAGGTACCTCTTTTGCCTATACCTTCATTCATGTGAATCGAATTTTAAAAATAAGAAAAAATTTATTTCGGCCTTTCCCGATATCGATATTTTGTTTCATCAGTGGCCGGTAATCTTAATCTTCGTCACACCTTGTTTTACTCTGATGTATGAGAGCCTCCCCAAGTGAACAAATTTGGGTAATATCTTTGGTTCACTGTTGTAGTACAACGGTCGTATAGTGTTTAAACACTTATAAATAAATTTCTAAAGATTTCCGAAGCCATTTCAATGCAGGATTTTGTTCCTTTTAACCAGTCTACTAAGGATGTTGAATGTGTAATTTATTGTATTTTTACTTTCTAAACTTTAAAATTCTATTCTCCCTTTCATTGATCACATTTATCAGTGTGCACTCACTTGACCAATACACGCCCCTTTTATTATGCATCCGTTTCCGCCCTTTGTTTTCGTAGTTACCCTTTTGCTAGCAAGCGTTTGGATGGACATTCTTATATGGTGT